TGACAAGTAATATGAGGGTGTGTCATGAGAGGTGCCTTTTCAAAAATTATATTGAGATTTTTTTGTTTCTTAATAGGGTCATATCCAATACCCACTTTATCAAAAACGCATCTTTGATTTCCAAGAAGCATGTTGAGATTATCTCTACCTTTTACAAAATTTTCAAATGTTTTTGTTAAATCATCAACATTATTTTTAAAGTAGTTTTCTCATTAGAGATAGTATCAAAATCATTTTTCAAAATAATTTTTTCTTTCTTTAATTCTTCTACATTAATAGATAAAGATGCAACAAATTTCTTCAACGCATTATTTTTGATACAAACTTTTCTATATTCATTTGATAGTTCATGGAATGCACTTTCAAGTTCTTCATAAAGAGTAGTTACCTCATCTTGAGTAGAGTCTTCATCTTCAAGAGCCATGAGACATAAGTTGGCTACTTCATTTTCAATTTCATCACTTGAGCTTTCATCTTCACTTTCTCCCCAAGCTGCTACCATGGCCTTTTTGTTTTTTTTTGTAGTCTTTTCCATGATTCTTCAATTTTGGACAATCCATCTTCATATGTCCAGGATTTTTGCACTCATAGCAAATAATAGGCTTTTTCTTGTTATCTTTATTATACTCTTTCTTGAAAGGTCTTCTTCCTCCATAATTGTTTTTCTTGACGTGCTTTTTGAGATTTCTACTAAACATGGCATAGCTTTCATCCTCACTGGAGTTTTCATGTTCTTCTTCATTTGATAAGGCTTTGAATGCAATTCCACTTTTCTTTTTGTTTTCAACATTCTCATATCCTTTCATGGTGATCTCATGAGTCATAAGGGAACTCATAAGCTCATCCAAACCAAGTGTGGAGAGATCTTTGGCTTTTATAATGGCGGTGACCTTTGCTTCCCAATTCTTTGGTAAACACCTAAGAATTTTTCTTACCAACTCACTATTAGTATAAGTTTTGCCAAGAGATTTCAAAGAGTTTACAATTTCAGTAAATCTAGTAAACATACTTGAAATAGATTCATCAGAGTTCATTTTAAACAATTCATAATTATGAACAAGCATATCAATACGAGATTCTTTTACTTGGTTTGTACCTTCATAAGTTACTTCAAGTTTGTCCCAGATTTCTTTTGCCAAATCACAACTTGAAATTCTATTATACTCCTTAGAGTCTAATCCACAAATAAGGGTGAGTTTGGCTTTAGCATTGGCTTGCAATAATTTGTGATCCCTCTCATCACATTCATCTTCAGTTTTAGGTACACTAATATTGTCTACTAATTTGGTAGGAATTTTTGGACATTTGGTGACAATAATCCAAATAGCATAATCAGTGGCTTGGACAAACCTTTATTTGATTTAAAGTTTAATTTTCTTATTATTAACTTATCTATACCTTTTGGATAATTTTTATCTTTCTTCTTTTTTCTTCCTTTCTTTTTTTTTTTTTCATTCCTACCCAGCCTAACCCTATTTCTAGTTACGGACCTAAGAAACCTTTAGTGGCCTCTTAAGAGCATTGAATTCAAAATTTTAAATCTTATTCTCAGGTTTTATCTCCAGTGATCAATTAGGATAACATGTTTTTCAGAAAACTTTGTTTAATTTTTTCTTTTAAATTACTAGGATATTATTTATAAATATATGAATGATTCTATCAAATTAGACAATCATAGTGCAATAATAACTTTTCGCATAAGATAATTTAAGCAGAAGTTCCATGTATAAGTTCGACCAAACATGCAACAATAGCTTTAGTTAATCGAAAGCTAGAAGTTACATGTTTTAAGTGGTACCAAACAACTACTTTTGTTTAGTGTAGTTGGCCTTGGCGATTGAATTAATAATTCGATCACGTACATAATTTTAAGGGAGAATTACAATTTAGTGTAAATTTAGAAAAGGAAAAAAAAAGTATATATAAGTGGTAAACTTTATAAACATTTATATTGAGATCATAAACTTTTTTATTTTTTTAGTAATATTTTTCTAAAGGGATATTTAGTCTAGTATCCCTTTCTAACTTTTAATAGGATAAAGATTTTTCCCCGAAATCCCCCCCCCAAACAGCCCAAAAGAGAGAGAGAGAGAAGAGAAAGAGAGAAAGAGAGAAAAAGAAGAGGGAATGGAGAGGAGAGAGAGGGCCCCTCCTTCGCCTCCGTCGCCGCCGATCGATGGCAGATCAATCGGTCGATCGACCAAACATGCAACAATAAGTTAAGCGAAAGCTAAAAGTTACATGTTTTAAGGGGTACCAAACAGCTACTTTTGTTTAGTGTAGTTGGCCTTGGCGATTGAATTAATAATTCGATCACGTACATAATTTTAAGGGAGAATTATAATTTAGTGTAAATTTAGAAAAGGAAAAAAAAAGTATATATAAGTGGTAAACTTTATAAACATTTATATTGAGATCGTAAATTTTTTTATTTTTTTAGTAATATTTTTCTAAAGGGATATTTAGTCTAGTATCCCTTTCTAACTTTTAATAATAAGAAAGATTCATAATATATATATTTTTGTAGCTTAAGGTTCCTTCTCACCCACATCCATATCACACCCACTCTGACATTCATTCTCTCTCTCTCTCTCTCTCTTCCTCTCCCTTACCATAGCCTCCTCATCCCCTTCCAACACCGATGTCTCTTCCGCCATCGTGACTGTCGTCGCCTCATCTCTGATAATGGCCTCTCTCTTCCTCTTCTTTGTCATCTTCATCTTCGACGATGAAGGTCGCTCCTCATCTCAGATCTGAAAACAATAGGCCACTCTCTTTGACTCATCTCCAACAACGGTCGCTCCTACTCCGCCACCTCATCTCCAACGTTCTCTCTATATATATGCGTGTGTGTGTGTATCCGTGTACGTGATCTGAAATCGATGACTTTCAGATCCTAGTTCTCGTCAATGAGAAGATTCTCCAATTTCGAATCACTATGAAAGAAGCCATGGGAGTGGCAGAATCTAACGGCAAAGATCTACAACTTGCCTCCCTTCAAGAAATCCAATACAACCTTCTTTTCTTGATTGTGATTTGTGGTGCCTTGCGAAGTCCATCAACCAAATAGTGGTGTAATTTCTTCTAATAGGATATTCATTTGTTGTTAGTTATGTTGATATTGTTTGTTTTTTAGGTTTGTATATCCTAACTTGTCAAAGCAATTGACAATGAGATTTGTATATTTCCAACCTGTTTGATTATGCACTGAAAGTGTTTGTTGTTATGCTTGTGAGAAGTGATTAGTAAAATTTCTTTGATCATATTTGTAGAAAAATTTTACAAATACAAAGGAAATTGGTCAAAACATAGAAAAAATTATGAGCAAATCAAAGAAATTTGTGAACAAACTAAAAAAATTTCAAACTAGAGAAAATTGTCTGTATTTTGAAATTTTTCTAGATCAAAATTTCTCTGAAAATTTGTTGAGGGACCCCAACCACTGAAAATTTTATGTCTTTTATCCTAAAAAAGTTTAATACCAAAAACTTTAAAAAAAAATTGCCCTTTTCTAAAATCTGATTAAGGTCGGCCCTGGGCATAGACCCACCAGGCCATGGCTTAGGGCCTCTCAAAATAGATCCAAAAAGGGGTCCCCTCCTATTATAGTTTAGTATAATATATTAAGTATGTTTTAAGTTCAAAAAGAATTAAAGAAGGTCCAAACTAACTTAAAATAAATTGACCCATTAAAAAAATTAAAATACTCATTCAAAATTAAAAGGACCTATTCTCTCTCTATCTAATTTAAACCCTAACTCTTAATTCAATTTTTTCAAAAATTTGAGAGAAGCGGCACAACATAGCACTAATGAATTTCTCAAGAATTTATAGCAGCAGCACAGCACAGATAGGTCTTTTTTTCTATTCCATTAATTAAATATTTATCATGCATTTTGCTCAATTGCTATTATAATATTGATTTATTTACTTTCTAAAAATGTAAGCAGAGCCAGATTCAAGTGATACTTATTAGTCATTGTAATGCCATCCTAAGTACTTTTTGTGATTTGATAAAAATCTTTTGTCTTTTACCTTAAAAAAAAATTGTTGAATGAAAAAAAATATAAAGAACGCCAAATAATCTAATGATAGTTATTAATTGATTATCGACTTGAGCCCGAAAATCTCTGGGGCCTGAATCCGCTTGGTTGTAATTCTCCCTGGTTTTTATTAAGAAAATGAGTGTCTGATTCGCAAGAGAGATGAGATAACATTGGTAAATCTCCAAACAAACATAGCTTTACACTCAACCTGCTTCATCACTAGACCAATAAATAAAGAAAAGAGAAAACTTCAATCATTATGAAAATATTTCATATCCTTTAAATTATAAAATTTTAATGTGCGAGATCATAAAAAAATTTCCAAAAAAAAAAAATGATTCACAAACAAAAAAAATTCATACAAAAATGACAATAAAATTTTAAAAACTGTACCTTTAATTGGCCACATAATTAAAGAAAAATATTTTACAACAAAACAATTTATACAAAAATGAAAATAACATTTTAAAAAATTCGGTTTAAATGAATAGACTTGTATACCACCTCATTCTTTATGAATTATTGGTATAATTTTTTTTTTATATTTATTTTATCGTTACTCATACATAAATTATTGGTAAAAAACACTATCTAAACTTACTAATTTGTTTGACAACTACCCTGAGTTGGGACATTTGGATAATGAAAAAAATATACACAAACATAGAAGGCTGCAATTGCATTATGTTAGTGCATTATGTTAGTGTAGCATTATGTTATTGTTCATAGGCATCCAAGGCATCCTCTATAAATAGAGTGCCTTCTTTGTGTAATAGACATGTACAATTCATAGAAACAATTGTGCCTCTCTCTCTCTCTCTCTATTCGCTCATCTCTATCTTCTCTCACTTTCTCCAATTATTATTTCACTTTTCATTATTTTATTTTTTATGATGAAAGAATTGAAGGGTTGGCCATGCTCTGGGTAGTGCAATTAAACAACAAAATTTGAGGTTTTTTTTTTTTTGCATTATAAAGCAACTGGCTTTGGACTACACAATTTCCGATCGAACCTCGGAATAACAAACTTCTCAAACTATCAATAATTTGGGGGGTTCAATTGGGACCCCAACAGCTTAAGTACATGACTTTCCTGAGAGACTCCTCTGCCTGCTTTGCCTTCTCTTCTCTTATTTTACTCGAAACCACGGCGGATGACGAGGGAGACAGTTTCTTAGCCTGAGAGTAAGCCCTCACGTTGTTCTTGACGTGGTGGTGTATGGATCTCATGGCATAGTTCCATCTACAGAACCCTTGATCTTTGAGTGCCTCCACAGCCCCAACGCTTGCTGCCACAATCCAAGCTCTGCTTGCCGAACTCATCTTTTTTCTTCCTCTTTCTTTAAATTGCTAATGATCTTTGAGTGACTGATATGAGAGGTTTTTGAGGAATTTCGGATTTGTTGATGGAATTTGCAATCTGAGCGGGTCTATATATATAAAGAGGTGAACACTGAATGGGAAATGAAACCAGAGGCGGTAGGTAGTAGCTGGTTTATTGGTGGTTTGGGGAATGGTAAGCAAATGGGCTTGAGTGAGACTGTGGGTGAGTTTTTTTTGGACCCTTTTGGACTAGAATGAGTGTTTTACGCATTCTACTTTTCCAAGTGGCATGGACTTGGGAGTGAAATTGCTTTTTCATTTTTATGTTTTTTGGGGTCCATAATTTACTTCTATCTTAATTTTATAGGGTGTCTCTATTTGCATCAAAAAGATGGGTGACACATCTTAATTTAATGAAATTTTATAAAGGGGTAAATTGGTCTTATAATTTACTTCGTATCTAAATTTTATGGGGTGACTCTATTTATATCTGAAAAGATTTATTGGACATCTTAATTTAATGAAATTTTATGGAGGGGGTAAATTGGTCTTATAATTTACTTTGCATTTTAATTTTATGGGGTAGCTCTATTTATATCTGAAAAGATTGGTTGGGCATCTTAATTTAATAAAATTTTATGGAGGGGTAAATTGGTCCTATAATTTACTTCGTATCTTAATTTTATGGGTGGCTATATTTTCATTTGAAAAGATTGGTTGGACATTTTAATTTAATGAAATCTTTTTACTATTATTATGTTCTTATTTAATATGATAAAAAAATGCCTGATATTGAAAAAAATGTAAATCATAGTGTTTTGGACACCCTATATCATGATCAATGTCAATCTTCGCTTTTATGTTCTTACTTTCTTCACTTTGCATTTTCATACTCAACCTATTTCTCTTGAATCTATCATTCTTTGCATTCCATTTCATATTCAAGTCAACAATAGATAATAAAGAAAGCGTTTTCAAACTTTTTTACTTATTTATAGAAGGGGTACGCTTTCGGTGGTGGGATTTACAAAATTTTTGACATTGAATATCCACACATATTTCATCTTTGGAAAATTTAGCCAAAATTCCTCTATTGGATCTTTATTTGATGAAAATGACAACTCAATTTATTTTTTTTCATAAACTCTCTAAGGAGGAGGCGCATAATTAAGTAAGGACAAAGTAAAATTAATTTTTTTTTTGAACAATATTATTAGAGTAACATGCTACTGTGAGACAGAGTAACATTTTACTGTAAGATAGAGAAATATCTTATTATCAAATAAAATAACATATACTGTTTACATCAATACTATCATATATATGGGTCACTTTTTGAGAGTGATTATTTGGTGGTTTATCACTCGACATTTGACAAGCTATTTTCTAAAAATTTAACAAAAATGTACAGAGTCTCATTGTTTTAAGAATATTATGTTGGATTACCACATGGCATTACCGGTTAAGTAAAAATATATAATTCTCAACTTTTTAGGGTATACCACATGTAAATTATGATCACAAATATTATAATTAATTACTTTCAATTATCATTAAGGTTGTAAACGAACCGAATTGAGTCAAATTTTAATATATTTAGACTTATTTGTGAAGATTTTAACGAGTTTAAACTTAAGCTCAAGTTCAATAAAAATTTAACGAACCAAATTCTAATCGAGTTGGCTTAGGCTTTTAAATTAGGTTTGACTCGAACTCGAGGTCTGTTCACAAACCTTAACGAGCTACAAAATTATAAATTTATACTTTGCGTATGAGATTAAAATTACAATTGAAACTTTAATTATATAAATATATATATACTAAAATAAAAGTCAATATCTTACTAAAATAATAATATCTATCACTATTATTATATAAATGTATTCTTAATAGTTAGCTATTATTTACATATAAACAAATTTAACTATTATTTACATTTACATTATTTAAATACATAAATAACATATTTATTCTATTTTTTTTACATATTTTTACATTATTTAATATAAAAATAATTTGTTTATTTTATTATTTAAATAAATGTTAAACGAACCCAACTAATGAGTCAAGTTTTAAATGTTTAGACTTTGTTTATTAAGATTTTAATGAGTTCGAACTTGAACACAATAAAAATTTGGTGAATAGATTCAAACGAGCCGTTACTGAACTGAGCTCAACCCTATTCATGAACATCTGTTCATTTGCAGCCCTAATCATAACTATAACCAAACATCATTTAAACCATAATTAAAGAATTTTTTGGTCAACTAAAATAATAATTACAATAGATTATAACTAACATCACAATAAAACATAACCAAATATCACTTGGGGCATAACCAAAGACCTCTTCCATCATAGCCGAAATAAAAATCACAAGAAGTTATAACTAAATAATAAGTAACACAACAATGAGTCATAATAAATAATAATCAATACCACAATTTATCATAATCAAATATTACGAAGTTCATACGTGGTATACACTCTTTTTTTTTTTTTAGATATGTATTATAAAATTTTCTATATAGATGTATACATTAACATGACTACAAACATATAATTAATTACAGAATTTGATGAATACACATATCAAATGGTGGGGTCTCTAAACTTGTTGAATATATGATTCCCTTTGTTTTATTTACTAATTATTTTTTATTTTAATATTCTTCTTATTTTTTTATTAATAGAAAAAAAAATATTAGTACTTTATGGATAACTATACGGGGAGTAAATATTTTTTACTTTCGTACTCCTTACGTCCAAGCTCCGTGTCACTGCAAACGATGTCATATAGCCTGAGAGCACAACGATAGTGAGCTACTTGGCGGGTGTGTTGCAAGAAAACCTCTCCGACAGTCAAGTTAGCACCCTTAGAGAAGAAAGACAAAAACAAAGATGGCTTTGAGTAAGGAAAGTTGCAGATCTTTTGATCCGAGGTGCTTAGCTAGTTACTTCCAGCCCAGTCAGGCTATGTGAACCCACCCAAGCCAACCTGGTTCCACTTTGAAGCTTGGCCAACCTGCTTAGCCCGATCGAGGGCGAAGTTGCCGACTTCGACCACACTTTAACTCGATCAAATCTTGTTCACCTTCCAAGGTAAATTCCGCTTAGCTCCAGAGCATGGCCGAAGTCATTGGCCACCGACCCTTAGCCTGATTGAAAGCTAGGCTACCATTTGACCAAGCTTGACCTTCGGTCTAGACTGACTAGATATCTCGATCCAACAACTAGCCACCTTCCAACTCAATTGAGAGATCCATAACAATAGCCCAAAATCTAAATTTTGTTCGACCCATTTGTTTGGCACAAATTCCTCCTCTCAATTGCCCATTAATCCAGTCTGCTTTAGCATGACTTGGATTATCACAACAGGTCAAGTTAAATCTCTTGCTCGGTAAATAGAACTGTTCGGTACAAAACCTATGCCTCAAATGGCACGTCCCCTAATCATGCTGACATAACGTCCATTCATGGACATATGTTGCCTCCCTAGCAGTCCCCATGCGTTTCTTCATGATGATCGGTGCGATTTCCAAAAAATTTCAAATCTTGGTGCCTCTTCATATACAATATATATACAACCTTTATATACAACTCTCTCTACTGTTCACCTTATTCACCCCCGACTGTTCATCTCTAAAAACCAGAGTGCCAAACTCTTGCCCCTCTATATTTTGTTCCAAATCGGAGTGTTTTCTTTATGGAAAACGGAGAGATATCGTGGTTTAGGCATCCACGCCAATTAGACAACAGATTCCAGCCCCGATCAGTAAGTTTCTCATTTTTCTCGTTTTTCTCCATTTTTGTTTACATCGTTCTCATGGTTCTTTAGCCCTAATTGTGATATCCGTAGAAAAAATGAAACCATAGCACCCAAAATCATTAAAAACTTAATTAATCAAGGGTGTTAAACTATCTTGAGTGTTAAATGGCTCCTGGTTCTCCATCCTTAAATGTACTGTTCATTACACAGAAAGATCTAGGCCAAATCGGGAAAAAATTCACTTTTTGATCCAAAATAATAACTTAACCCCGAAAAACTCCATGTTTAGCATTTGAAAGGAGGATCGAGTTGTTATGCAACCAAGTCAATTAGGCACTCGACCAAGCTCCAAGTGTTAAGTGTGCGACTCTCGTCGTCGGTGGGGCCCTTCTGGGCTCAATGAGCCCCTAGAACTCCTTGCACATTTGTCTCGCGTGTCTCTCGAAGGCCCTCATGTGGAGGTCGCCAAACCAGCCATCGTCGGAACGACAGGCAAGTCGTCACGCAGCCGAATAGACTCTAGCGTAATGTCATCAATAGTGGACATCAGAACATCATCGTTATTTACCATTAAGGTTAATCAGAGAAGCTTGGAGGACAAGGTTTTGTATGTCAAGGTTCCCATAGACGGCATCAATTATACAGGGAGTAAATATTCTTTACTTCCGTACTCCTTGTGTCCAAGCTCCATGTCACTCCGAACGGTATCATACAGCTTGAGAGCACAACAATGGTAAGCCACACGGCAGGTGTGTTGCCGGAAAACCCCTCTGACGGTAAAGTTAGCACCCTTAGAGAAAAAAGACAAAAACAAAGATAGCTCTGAGTAAGGAAAGTTGCAGACCTTTTGCATGGAGGCGCCATAGGGCTTATATAGTTTGTGCGTGCACTACCTTGTTCATCCTTTCTTAGACGCGTGGATGTTCTATCATCTTTTTACCTTAAATATGCGTGCGTCAATATTGCCAAACATCATTAACTATACCTCCAAACGGTATTGATGCGTACGGATGGTGGGTTCTCTTCTTCTCACTCCAATTGGGCCACGTGGCAATTCCCACTGAGCTATCCATAGCACGGTGCGATCTCGTCCACCCTTCGAAACCATGCTATTTCTAGTCGGTCTAGATCCTAGGTGACTAGGTAGTTACTTCCAACCCGGTCAGACTATGTGAACCCACCCAAGCCAACATCATTCCGCTTAGAAACATGGCTAACCCGCTTACGGAGTTACCGACTTTGACCACTCTTCAGCTTGGTCGAATCTTGTTCACCTTCCAAGATAAATTCCGCTTAGCTCTAGAGCTCAGTGAAAGTCATTAGACACCAACCCTTAGTTCAATTTAAAGCTACGCCGCCATTTGACCGAGCTTGACCCTGGGC